CTGCGTTGACGAGGGCCAAAGCCACATTCTCGATCTGTTGGTATCTAACCTCGGGCCCCTGAAGCGCTTTGCTCGTGAAATAAATGGGTTTTTGTCCGTCATGAGTCTCGCGAATGAGGGCCGCACTGACGGCTTCGACGGAGACGGTCAAGTATAGAAATAAGGTCTCCCCGTCGACTGGTCGTGATAGCACGGGCGGCTGCGAGAGGCTCTGTTTGAGATGGAGAAGGGCCTGTTCGCATTCCTCGGTCCACTCGAAAGCTGCCTCCTTGCGAAGGAGTTTGAAGAAAGGCAGGGCGTGTTGAGCGGATTTTGCGACGAAACGGGAGAGTGAGGCGAGCATACCATTCTAGACTTGTATAAATTTTTTCGACGTGGGTGTAGGAAGGTCAGAGAAAGCTCGGCACGTGTCGGGGTTGACTTCGATTCTATATTGCCTTGCTTGGCCAAAGACTTCTTTGAGATGGGTGGCATGGTCGATATCTACTCGGGACTTGACGATCATGTCGTCCATGTATACCTCGAGCATATCTCCGATCTGGTTGCGGAAGACTTTGTTCATCATCTGCTGAAACGCTGCTCCTGTGTTTTTCAGACCGAATGACATTACGTTGTAGTAATAGTTGCTCGAGCTGGTCATGAAAGCAGTGCAGTGTTTGTCGCTCATTGCCATTGGGATTTGGTTGTAGTCCGAATAGGCGTCCATAAAAGATAAAATTTTATAGCCGGCCGAATTGTCGACCAACATGTCAATATTAGGCAAAGGAAATGCATCTTTGGGGCATGCCCGATTAAGATCGGTATAGTTAACACACATACACTACTTTCCATTATTTTTCTTAACAAGTACAACATTTGACAGCCAGGGCCAGACTTCAGAAATAAAATTTGCCTCTAAGAAGTCTTTTACAACTTTTTCAGCAGCCTCCGCTTTCTCGGGAGACTGCCTACGCTTACGTTGTACTACTGTCCTAGCGGCTGAATCAATGGCGAGTTGATGACATGCGACCTCAGGATCGAGACCGGGCATCTCCGCAGCACTCCATGCGAACAGATCTACATTCTCCCTCAAGCAGGTCTTGATCTGCTTTCTCGCTAAGTCGGAGAGTCCGGTGTCAATCTTCATCCCTCTGCTCGGGTCTTCACCGAGAGGAACGAGCTCAAAGTCCCCATCCAGAATTGGTCGGAGGAGCACCTGCTCGCTGTTGGAGGGTTCGTCTTGGTCGAAGCGAGTGTCCAACGAGATCGAATTGACCTTTGGAGGGGCCCTATGTACCTCCGCTCTGATGGGCTGTGGCTCTGACTGCTGAGGCTCTGGTCACGCAGTTGCAGCTTTCTTGGCGGGCCGTGCCCTGGTATCGACTGTGCTGTGTCCCTTGGCTGCCGCGTTGAAGCATCTTCGGGCGGCTGCTAGGTCGCCTTGAATGGTGGCGACCCGTGCTCTCTTGGTGTAGAATTTCATCTTCAGATGGACGGTAGAGGGCACCGTAGTCAGCTCTGCCAGTGTCGGCCTCCCAAGGATGTAGTTATAGAGGGATGGACAGTCGATGACGAGGAAGCGCACCTTGACCTGCCTGGTAGCAGTATCTTCGCCGAAGGTGACCATAAGCTCCACGTATCCCCACGGCTTGGAGGTCGAGCCATTGAAGCCCTGCAAGTCTGACCCCACGTATGGTGAAAGGTGAGAGTCATCGAGCTGCAGGGTTCTGAACAGCTGTCTGTACATCACGTCGACAGAACTTTCCTCGTCGACCAGGACGCGCTGGACGTCGAATTTGGCCATTCTCGCCCTTATCAGAAGAGGGATGGCTGAATTGGGTGCCCCTCCGAGAAGCTCCTCGAGGTAAAAGATGATCGGCTCTGATCTACCTTTCACCCTCTCGAAGGTCACCGTTTGCAGGGGAGCCGCGTCGACCAGTTCGTCCAGCTTCCTCTTTGCTGAATTTATGGTTAAATCATTAAACCCTCCACCATTGATGACCATGACGGAGGGGAAGTTTTCCCACCTGCTGTGCGTGGACAGAGGCTCTTGCATATGTTCGGGGACGTAAAAGTCCTCCGGTCTCGTGACGGAGAACGCGGTTTGGATGGGGACCGACTCGTCAGATAGTCGGACATCCTCCTCTACTTCCCTTGTTTCACGGGCATCTCGACGAGGGGCGTCGCCGCGCCGATATTGCCCGAGTCTTCCCCCTTTTATGAGGGTCTCGATGGCGTCCTTGAGATGGACACAATATTCGATCAAGTGCCCATGGCTCCGGTGATACTGGTAGTACTTGCTTCGATCTACCCCGGGTTTAGCAGGAGCGGGGCGAGGACGTTTGACGCCACCGTCCTTGAAATCTATATTCGCGCACTCCGCTAAAATGCGCTCGCGGGAAGCCGTTAGCGGAGTGTACTCAGTGAACCTCCCTGAGGGTCCCCTTTGTTCCCGGACGTCTCGGGGTTTGTCGTCCCTTCTCTTCTCGCCAGTTCGTCGAGGAGGGGTGGTGTCTTGTCGCAGATGACTGGTAGATCCGCGATTTCTGGGATCCCGGGCTCTGTTGGCCGCTTCTCTCTCTTCGTAGTCCATGTAGGCTCTGGCCTTCTCGAGGAGGGCATCGAATGTCCGGGGTGGTTCGATGCCTACGGTCTTTCTGAATTCCGTGCCCGAGAGGAGTCCCCTCTCGAGCAGGTATCTCTTCATGTGGTCCGTACAGGGGACCTGGATGGCCTCCCGGTTGAACCGATCAATAAATTCCCTCAGGGTCTCATCGTGTCTCTGGACGATGGCCTCGAGGGCTGCTTCGGTCTTCTGGTGTCGTCGCGAAGCAGTAAATGAATTGATGAATTGGTTCTTCAGATTTCGCCAAGAGGTAATTGATCCCGGGACGAGACCTTTGTACCAGTCCATCGCAGCTTTCCTCAGAGTCGTGGGGAACAACCGGCATTTGATCGATCCTCCGACATTGTGATAGTGTAACATGGCTTCAAACCCGTCTATATGGTTGATCGGGTCGACGATGCCGTCGTATTCCTTTAGGTGGGGAGGCTTCTCTATGCCCGGGGGAATGGGTGCCTCCATGATAGCTTGTGACAACGGACCGCGGGGGTCGTCCTCGTCACTCCGTTCGGACGAGCGAGACAGAGATTTGATGTAGTGGCGGTTACGGTGGCCCTGATCGCGCGGAGCGGTCCTCGGGCGGTATGGCCGTTCGTGGTTTCCCCCGTTTCTGTCTCCAGGGGTCTTCGTTCTTGATGCGAGGGGCCGTGATCGCGCCTTCCTGTATCAACGGGCTGTTCCCTTTCTAACGCGGGCCGTCGTCCGATTGGTCGGGGAGACGAACTTCGAGAGATGTCCCGACTACGTCTCTGCAGGGGAGATTGAGGATGTTCCTCTGCTTGTCGAGGAGTAGGAGATTGAGGTCTCCTGTGTCTTCTTGGGGGTCTCCGATCGTCTTCGAGCGTCCTCAATCTTTCTCCCTGGGCGAAGATCAGGTAGTTGGTCTGATTTATTGTCGCAAACAGTGCCCTGGTCGTGGCGTCTGCCCCGGCGGGAACGGGGACCTCATGGAACTGGACGTGTTGGTAGTTCTGGGGAGGTGGCCGATCATCTTCAAGTCGACGAGGTAGTGATGATGACGAAGCAGTTGCTCTGTCTCTGTAGTCAGAAGGCCCAGACATATTAACGTCGGGGGCTGTGTTATGGCCGGCGGTACCGGCGTTTTCGAGGCCGGCATTGTTGTCGGCGGTGTTGTTGTTGACGTCGATGATATGAACGTTCAAGTTCTCTGGAGTCTGGTCAGCCATGACAGTCGGGGATTGTTTAGCTTTGGTCTCAAGTAAATAGAAGACGGGGAAGCAAGATTCCCACAGACGGCGCCACTGATCTTACTGGATCAGAAATGGACCGTCACAGCTAACTCGGGCAGAAGTTGAATGAGATGGGGGTACCTGCAAGACACTCCGATGGCAAAGTAAGTTACGGAATGAACAAGCAAGTATGAGTTCAGAGAGATGAATTGAATACCTGACCCTCTTAGGAGAGAGGGTATTTATAGCCCCCAGCACTGGGCCAAGGTTCCCACTATTGGGCCACGTTGAGGTCCAATAACAGGAACTGCCAGGGCTTACGTGTGTATGGAGTCCAGCAAGTGGACTCCCTCTGGTCAACTGCTCCGCGAGAACAGGGTTGAACCCGTGATTTCCGGAGGACAGTTTAAGATGGCTGTCGTGAGATTGTGGGCCACGTCCTTCAACGGTCGGGTGGGGAGTTGCCCAACGGTCCCTAACTTGGGCTGTTTTTGGGCTTTCCGTTCGAAGGGCAAGTGTAGGCTCAATCCAGATCAGTAAGAAAACTAGGTTTTTTCTCAAATCATATTAGTACTCTCCATCGCACAATTATGGCCGCATTTGTCCATTTCATACTGATTAATAAAACATAGTATAGTTTGTTAAATCTGTTCAATTGGTAGCTGTGCAAAGACGTAGATGTAAGGGTATGGGTTCGAACATATAACGTCTCACTTATTCACCTTTAAAAGAAGGTTCAATTCCGTTTCTATTATTATAAATGCATAAAATTTAACTATGAATTGTAAACTGAAAGGGACAATCTGTTGAACAGTATTTTTTTGTTGTTGCTGCAATTATGACAATTATTGTGGGATAGAGGATTATTTTTATTTTCCATTACAATTATCATTTTTGGAATCCTTTAAAATTTTAGAAGAAGGTTCAATTCCGTTTCTATTCTTATAAATGCAAAATGAAGAATAATGATATTTCTAATATTAATTAGAGTGTACAATTGAACAACAAAATTTAATTATGCTTTGTAAACTAAAAGGGACAATCTTTTGAACAATTTTTTTTTGTTGCAAATATGACAATTATTGTGGGATAGAGGATTATTTTTGTTTTCCTATACAATTATCATTTTTGGAATGCATTGATTGTTGATTATAAATCAGTTAGATGCTGACAACAGATAACTGATACTCTAGTTGTTCTGTTTATAGGTCTTGTTCTTTTGGTTGATGTTCCACGGGATAACAACATAACTGGTATGTGATGCTCTTATTTAAATCATTTAGTTCTTGAATTGCTGCACAGTTCAGTTTCTTATTTTCTTAGCCATGTAAATGCAATGTTCTATTTGGCAAGATTGGTTTTTGAGCTTATAGCTGATGTCTTACAAATAATAAACTCATATGACTAAAATAGACTTACGTGACAACAATTTTGTTCTCATGTTTTATACTAGTTTTTAGTGTTTTTTTTTCTAAACTACTTAAAGTAGACTTTGAGCTTACAAAATTTTTATCGCAATTTTACTATTGTTATCTTAATTGAAAAAAATTAAATATTAATTAAAAATGTCTCTTTGTGCCATTTCAAAACACAATTTTAAATTAAAAATATCCTTTTAATTGTGTTCTTCTGATGAGTATATTCAATCGCTAGTTTTGTCAAATGGTACAAGTTCAATCCCTAGCTTCTTTGTTATCAGCTGATAACTAGCTCAATTGCTATACTTTTTACCAAACAATGCCTAAATCTTCCTGAAGAATCATTGTGACTGAAAATTTTATATTTCGTAGCAGTTTTTAGTGCTGAATCTCAATCATGAAATTTGGCGGATGCTCTGCTTTCCCATTTACAAACTTTTCTGAGCCGTTTCATTTTGAATGTCTGATGTGAAAATGCAAACTTATTCCTGTTATCAGTGTTTATATTTAATTTAAATATATTAAAAAATTTATCCTTTTCCAGCTGAAGTTATGAAGTCCTTGTATATCCCTAAAGGTGTACGCCGTGTGCTCTTCAGAACATTAAATACTGACAGGTAATAACTGTATAAGTTACATTTGCCAGGACTGCTGTAGTAGCATCTTATTTTTGTTTGTCTTCCAGAAAAGAGTCAAATTTTAAGATGGTTTTTCTTGCTTGCTCTGAAAGTGCGTTTCTAATGCAGCTTCAAAGTTGTTGCATATACATGAAAATGAAATGCATTTTGTTTAACATTCATATACTTTTATCTTTAGGAAACTTTTTGTTCCGCAGTTTCAATTTTTGGGTTAAACCTTCTGAGTCATTATAATGTGGATGTGGAGTTAGCTTGCATATAAGGATTAGTTGCTTCTTCATTTATCTGTATAGTTTAAGATGGACATGCCATTGATCGATGGGGAGGGGGTGGACAGTAGGCAGAGGTTATACACAATTTGCTAATTACTAATTACTAATTACTAATTACCAATGGTATATTATTCTCAAGGGTTGCTTGGAAATGAGAACTTAGCTTATTATAGCTATTAGTTTCAAAACAAGTTTTGTAAGACCAGCAATTTTATATATTTGTGAATGCAATTTACCAAACTTTAAGGTATGTTTGGATGGTGGAGATTGGAGGAAATGAGAGGGAGGGAAAGGTTTTTAATGAAAATATTTCCCCTTTATTTTACTCCAACATAAACTTAAAGCGTGTTTGATTTGATTTTGCTATTTTAATTTTTAACCTCAATGACTCATGCCAGTATATAATTTTGAACTTGCAATTTCAACATTTAGCTTAGTGCTATGCATTTGTTTATTAGAAGTTACATGTGACTTGTAGGCAATTTTTTTGTTGAAATGTTAGGAAGCTTATGTTTAAGAAGGAATTTGACACAAGCTATGTTGGATTCATGGAGGATGGGGCAAAATGGCTGGTGGAGAACACTGACATCAAACTTGTAGGTGAGATAGCAATCACTATGTAGATTCGGGTTGCTTCCTAATTTTTTTTCTCAAATAACTGGCATCCATCCATAGTTTGTATTCTTAATTTATTTCAGTCACATATGTCTATCATCTAATAATATGGGGTCATTAACTTAAATAGATCTCATTGCACATTTCAAATTCTGTCCATTTTTTCCTGTCGTGACTCAGTCTATCTTAGAAATTTTTTCAGCTCAATATATTTTTGGATGAAATGGAAGGGGCAAAGCCACCTGTCTGAAATTAAGTCAGGTTCCTGAAAGGCTAAACCAGAGTACACATCTTCCAAGTGGAAGTTCCAAACAATGGAAGGCATTACATGAAAAATAAAATAGATCTCATTGCACATTTCAAATTCTGTCCATTTTTTCCTGTCGTGACTCGGTCTATCTTAGAAATTTTTTCAGCTCAATATTTTTTTGGATGAAATGGAAGGGGCAAAGCCACCTGTCTGAAATTAAGTCAGGTTCCTGAAAGGCTAAACCAGAGTACACATCTTCCAAGTGGAAGTTCCAAACAATGGAAGGCATTACATGAAAAATAAAATAATTATAATCTAAAGATAGGCCATGTTTTTCTTAATGATCTACATGCTGATCTTGAGATATAGTTGAAGTGAGCAACATCTATATTGGCCATTTGAAGAATTTTCGCTACCAAAACAGAGCACGGATGAAACACATGACATTTTATTGTTAATAGCTATAAGCTAGTCCGGTTCCATCATCAAGCGCGTGTAGTTTTTATCTTGAGCTATCAAAACAGGGCTCTTAACTCAGATAGAACCACATTACAACTCCTTAATTTTCCAGCACAGGCCCACGATAAGGAGCCATCATTGCTGTACGCTAAACCCCCAGCAGCAGCACCTCGATTGGTTTTATTGTCGTCTTCATTTGGCTTAGCCTACTTGGTTATATCCTTCGTGGTAAAGCTTCTCACTGATGCCACCAAGTCAACCAATGACAAGCTCCCAGTAGCACAATCAGAAAGCTTACCCACTCAAGTGTCAGTCCAAAAGCTGATTGGGTTGATTTGCGTCCAACCCATACAAATCCCCAGCCAAAAATTAGAACCCAGTCTTTTACATTGATCTTTGGCAAAATATCCCGACCACATCTGTAATTGGATCTAATACTCTTCACTCAGAGGTCTTGGCTACTACGACAAAGGTTCCAGCCCGCCTTCGTCATAGAGGACATGTTCATATTGCACACTAATCTGAAACCCAAACCTCCATTTTCCTTAGGAACACAAAAAAGATTCCCAGGAAACCAGGTGTATATATCTACTTTCCGAAAAGTCTCCCTAAATAAAGGTCCCTCGCTTACGGCCTATGTCATCACATAAGGCTTTGGGGTGAATAGCAGGCAGCACCTGAGCGACCGTTTAGCAAGAGTATTTCTCCCAGCTAGGGATAAAATATTCTTCCGGCTCATACGACAACCACTTTTAAGCATGTCATCCATCTTTATGATCCATTTAATGCATAATTTAATTTTAATCGAGGTATGGTAGTTATTTTAGGTATTAAGTATCTTTTTTGTTATATAGATGTCAACCTAGTTGACTTATCGAATGGCTGTATTCTCTATGGTCATGCGAGTTAATAAACTTATAAATGGTTGAGATTTGTAAATGCACAAGATTCAAACCATAGATAATTATTTTGAATTAATAACCTTGCTCACCGCAATAAATAGCACGTGTGTATTAATAATCACGGCCTTTGTATATATCATAATTCCTAGTTTACACTATGTAATGGTATAAGGCCTGACAATCATCAATTCCTTGTCCTCGATCGGTTAGCTCAGCAGTCTTAAGTCTTTGTACTTGTTGCATGCTCCAATAGTCACGGAAAAGCTCTTGGTTATTGTAACAGCAGTATGTCCTAGCCATGTGATTTGTTTAGGTTATGCTCATTTTTTCCCCACTTACATCAGTGTCTACCTCAGAGCCCCAAAATCTTTTTTCATAGAAAGGTTATAATTTCCTTCAGATTTGTCAAGGCCTACAATTCGTGAATTATCTTGACCAATACCTCATTGTAGCCAAGTTTCATATGAAGGCTTTTTGTTCCACAGAACTAAAATTTAAGGTTGTGTGTCTGTATGTGTTAGAGATATCAAACTTGGGCGATAAACAGTGGCAAATTAAACATCGGGCTTTGCCTGTGGCAATGGGTGATTGTTGTAGACAACCTTTTTTTTTGTTGGTATTCTCATTGTATTTTTTTGCACAATTTTTTTAAGGTGTGGTTCTGATAGAGACCCGAGTAAGAGGGATAAGGAAAAAAACTATTATGTAATAGAGTATGGTGAGGTTATATGGTAAGTAACGAGTGGGTTAGGATGTTTAGTTGGCAAGTTTGTTATGTTTTAGTAGTATAAATAGTGAGGTGGATGAATTGTAATGGAGAGCAAGAATATTGGAGTATTCTCCTTCTCTGAGGATCTTGGCTCAGGGGTAGATTGGAATTGTTTTTCTTCTACAATTGTTTTTTTTCATCTATTAAATACATACTATTGTCTTACTGTTTTATCTCTTTATTTGCTTAATTTCGGATACTGAGTTTCGGGTTCTCATCAGATTCGAAGCCATATCTGCTGGCAAACCATTCCTGCAATAATTGCAAAATACTTTTATATATATTCCTCAACGATTTATCCCTCATTAAGATCAGCCAAGCTCCGCCACTGGTCAGTACCAGTACCTATTTAAAATTCATGTTTTAATATCCAGTACAACGAAACAACTGAAGAGATACAAGTGAGTTGGAAGTCCTACATTACTTGAAAAATTGGAGGCTGAATACTTTATAAGTGAGAAGACCCATATACCTAATGCCTTAAAGATTTGGGTGAGTATGTGGTGTGTCCCTCACTTGTTTGGGCGAGTCTTTGACTCAATGTGGATGCTTGCCCTCATGACCCCTCATCAGTGGTATCAAAGCCGATGGTTCGAGTAAGAGACCGACTCCTTGTACCGAAATTCTTTCTGACACGGTGGTAAGAGTGTCAACGGCGGTACGAAAGAGCTTCCGCATGAGGAGAAGTATAGTGGATGGACTCACTTCAGAAAAAGATTGTTGGGATGTGGTGTTTCTCTCACTTGTTTGGATGAATCTTTGACCCATTGTGGATGCTTTCCCTCACGATGACCCATCAACAACTTCAGTGGAAACCTTTTGCAGTTTCAATTTATTTATTCATGTTTTAATATCTTTTACAATGAAACAATGTCAGTGGAAACCTTTTGCTGTTTCAATTTATGATGGTACTATTTCTGCTTTTTCCCCTATTGAATGTCATTTATGCACTAATGTAGTTTCTGGTGTAATTGGTAGGAGTTGATTACTTATCCGTTGCGGCATATGTTCACTCGGTTCAGTCTCATCTTGTTTTTCTGGAAAGCAGGGTAAGTAAATTGTCTTCTGGTGGTAATTTATGCATATTTTACTCCTTAGTTACCTTAAGTTAATTATTCCTAGTTTCTGATTTGAAAGAACTAAAAAAAAATTAAAATAGGAGCACAAATGAGGTCTCGTCTGATGAAGTATATCAATGATGCTGAAAGTATGGTGCTAATCTCTCTTAAATTTTCAAACTTTAAGTATTGATAATGGTTGGTTCAAATAACATTTGGTGTTTTCAACAGAGTGATGGTAGTATCAATTTGTATGTCCTTTATGGTTTCATGTCTTGTTTAGGAAAGTAACATTTTATTGGACCGCTTTGTACTTCCACTCTTCAAATTGATGTATTATTCATGTCTGACCAGCGATCACAGACCTGAATCTTGAAAGTTTATGAAACTTAGATATAATTATCAGCACTGCTAATTTTTTATATTCATCATTCGTGATAGGATTTTATAGCTGATAAGGTTTTATTAGCAATTCCAAAACTCTGCTTAAACTATTTCGTATTTGAAACAATTATTTCACTTGATACATCTTTATTCATTGCTCCCTTAATTCACTCATTTGTGTTCAGCTGATATTAGTCGTATATTTGCATTCTATTCTTGAAGGCTGTTTTCACCATTTGAGTAGATACTTTCAGTTTTAGTAGAAAGAGAGAGATGTTGCTAGAATGCGTCCATTGACTTCCCTGTCAAATCATCAATGAGCAAGTCACTAACAAAAGTAAATGCATCAGGAAATCATTCTTGTGGAAGGCCTTAAGCTAGACGGTGTCCCAGCAGGAATATATTCGCTCAACTGTTTGCCTCTCAGGTTGGTTGGTTCTGAGGCATCACCAATACGGTGCATTCTGATCCGATGAAGAAGTCCGTGAGTCACATGGTATGATCAATTTATGATATCAACCTCCAACTTTGAGTTTCTTATCGTTTCTTTACATTATCCTTATCTTTATCAAGTCAAATGTTGATATAGTGGTAGGGCCGCAGGTAGCAACATAGCCCGAATGTAGTCAGCGGTATCAACAAGGAGCATTTTGATGCAAACCAAACCGATAGTATAGTAATATCTCAAATGGTCATATTTTATGAACTTAGGTTGGAGATGCTACTGGGTGCCGATCTAATGTCTGTAGTAATCTATTACTGTTGTGCCAATAATTGAGGACTTGCAGGTGCACTTGTAATAAACTTGTGTTTTCAACTTTTACCTCACGAGTCCTTGTGCACCATTTGTACTTGTAGACCCATGCCCATATATTCTTAATAGTTACATTATATATTAACTCTGTATCTTATCAATATCTCTAAGTGCGATTCGTTGAAACAGGGTATCTCTTGGTTCATTAGAGATAGCGTTACTACTAGATTATGGCAAGATGATTAGATTCCTGGTATTAGACTCTTAAAATTATTAATGAACATGTTTTGGCTATTTCTATTAACCAATGTGTCATTTTAAAGCAAGTTCTTACGCCACATCTATCAAGAAATAAATTTATATCATAGCACATTATTGATCTCCTCCACTTTTCTGTTCTTTTTTGACAGCAATCAATGTTAACATTAGTAACAGTTAATTAGTTAGTATTTGCCGTAGGTGAGAGTCAAATTTGAGACCACTCTTATCATTCTACTTAACTCTTTCCATATTCGTATTTCTTGACAGAAAATATACAACTCTGATCTCATTGAACAATTTTTAGACGAATCATCTTTTCAAGCTACTCTACCTTTCTCATTTTCCTTGATGTTTAAGTGAAATCTTTCATTCTTCGGTTGAAACATCTCTCTTCACCATCTCATCGCACACTCCCAATAAATTCCACTTACTCTCCTAGCTCCCTTACCATAAAAATTATTTGAATAAAGATTCTACTTTAATAGTTATATCTGACGGAGTTATGAAAAAAGATAGATAAAATATTGGTAATGTAGAAAGGGTGAAATGCAACATAATGTACTTCCAAATTGACAAATATACTTTTCACCTTACTTTTAATGATTCACCCGTCCCTTTTACTCTAGGAAAAGCTTTAGTCGGAGTCTTGGATACAAAAATATAATTTCTCTATTTAAGTTTTATATTTACAACACTCTACTGTCGGTGAATGAATATCATTTATTTCAAACTTTCAAGTAAGTTAGTTTGATCTTTATGTTGGTAAATCAACATCCTTCGTTAACATATTTGTCAGCTAATATCTAAGAGAGATGAAGATTATAGTTATTAATTTACTATCCAATTTTCTTTGATGAAATGTTGGTCCACATGAAATAATCCATTTTCTAAGCAACAATACTATTATGATGAATACTGTTCTGGACTGGGCCCGACAGGCCCAAAAACATTGCAAAGGTTCAGTCCAAATGGACTTACAAGGGCCACGCCGACCAAAGAGCACGACTGTGCACGACGGGTAGTCGCAGGCTCGACAACACACCTCCAGCTTGACATGCTGCGGTCCAGCGCCACGTCCTGAGGTCCAGCTCGACATTACCTCGAGCACCCCATCTAGGGCAGACTCAGTCCACTGTTCCCCCAACGATACCCCGAAAAGACCGCGTCTCCGTCCGCCCGCACTTCACGCAGAACATCCAGGAAGGGGACCTCGTGCGGGTCCCCACTACACACGTAGAACCTGGCAGTTCCTCCATTGGGCCAAACCTGCCCGGCCCAATGAGGGAACCTTGGCCCAGCGCTGGGGGCTATAAATACCCTCTGCTTCCAGAGGGTCAGGTATTCATCATTCTAACCTTACACTTGCTATTATCTGCTCGTACTCCTACTTACTTCAGCATCAGAGTGCCTTGCAGGTACCCCCTCCACCTCGTTCAAAAAGCTTTCTGCTCGGAGCCAGCCGTGACGGTCCATTTCTGATCAGGTCAGATCAGTGGCGCCGTCTGTGGGAACTAGCTTCCCCGTCTAACGAACAACTCTAAAGACCAAAGCTCAATTCAACTACCTGTCATGGCTGATCCAGCTCGCGACGAGCAGCCCGTCCGTGTCGCCGACACTAATAACGGTACCGCGGACAAGAATGGACACCTCGATAATCCCGGTGATCCCGGCCACAACACCATTCCTGTGACGACCGCCCCTGGAGCTTCCTCCTACAGGGACGGGGCTACTGCATCATCCTCCCCGTCCCCACCACTACTTGAAGACGACCCGGTAGCTCTCGCTCATTACAGAGCTGCCCGGTTCCATGAAGTCCCAGTTCCTGCCGGGGCAGATGCCACGACCCAAGCACTGTTCGCGGCCATTAATCAGACAAGCTATCTCATCTTCGCCCAAGGAGAAAGACTAAGGGCACTTGAAGATGATCGACGACCCCCGAGGAGGCATCGGAGGCCACATTCTCCACCTCCTCGGGTCACAGAGATTCGACACCCTTCTCCCCCGCGGAGACACTACAGGGAGAACTCCAGAAGCCCCTCTCCCCGGCCAAAGCAGAGGCGGCCCTACTATGAGAGACAGCCCGCCATCCCTGCCGGAGAACCCAGTCGCGACCCGTCAAGGCACGACAAGAGGCACGCCGGGGACGGGCGTGTGACATTCAACCACCGAGCATCACGCTCGAGGGAAACTCAGCACGACCACCGTGCCAGACAAAACTACAGGTCCCCATCTCTTTCTCCGGAGAGGAGCGACGAGGACGACCCCCGTGGTCCCCTGTCGCAGGCCATCATGGATGCACCCATCCCCCCGGGCATGGAGAAGCCCCCGCATCTGAAGGAGTATGACGGAGTAGCGGACCCGGTCGACCATATTGACGGGTTCGAAGCCATGCTCCACTATCATAATGTCGGGGGGCCCATCAAATGCCGTCTTTTCCCCACGACTCTCAGGAAGGCGGCCATGGACTGATATAAAGGACTCGCCCCGGGCTCAATCACATCGTGGCGGAACCTGAAGAACCAGTTCATCAGTTCCTTCACAGCTTCTCGGCGCCATCCGAAGACCGAGGCGGCCCTCGAGGCCATCATCCAAAGACAGGATGAAACCTTGAGGGAGTTCATCAACCGCTTCAACCGAGAAGCAATACAGGTCCCCTGCGCGGACCACATGAAAAGATACTTGCTGGAGAGGGGTCTCCTCCCCGGCACAGAATTCAGAAAAGTTGTGGGTATTGAGCCACCCCCGACTTTTGATGCCCTCCTCGACAAGGCCCGAGCATACATGGACTACGAGGAGAGGGAAGCTGCCAATAGGGCCCGGGACTCCAGGGCTCGAGGTCCCAACAACAGCAGCAGCTCACGACAAGAGGCTCCTCCCCGACGTACCGGGGAGAAAAGGAAAGAAGATCGACCCCGGGAAGCCCGGGAACAAAGGGGCCCCTCGGGCCGTTTCACCGAGTACACTCCGCTCACAGCTTCCCGCGAGCGTATTTTGGCGGAGTGTGCCAGTACAGATTTCAGAGACGGTGGCGTCAAGCGTCCCCGACCTACTCCCGCCAAGCCAGGGGCGGATACAAATAAATACTGTCAATACCATAGGAGTCATGGTCATTTGACAGAGGACTGCGTCCACCTCAAGGACGCCATTGAAACCCTCATCAAGGGAGGAAGGCTCGCGCAGTACAGGCGAAGCGACGCTCCCCGTCGTGACGCCCATGAAACCAAGGAGCCCGAAGAAGACGCCCGACCATCAAATGAGTCGGTGCCTATCCAGACCACCTTCTCGGTAACCAGGCCCGAGGACTTCGACATTCCCGAGCTCCTGCAGGAGCCCCTGACAACACACAGCAGGTGGGAATACTTTCCCTCCGCCATGGTCATCAACGGGGGCGGGTTCAACGACCTCACCATCAATTCAGCTAAGAGGAAGTTGGACGAGCTGGTCGACATAGCTCCTCCGCAAACTGTAACGTTCGAAAGGGTGAAGGGCAGGTCAAAGCCCATCACCTTCTACCTGGAAGAACTCCCCGGCGGAGCCCCGAACGCGGTCATCCCCTTACTGATAAGGGCAAAAATGGCCAATTTTGACGTGCATCGCATCCTGGTCGACGAAGGGAGTTCCGTCGATGTGATGTACAGCCAGTTGTTCCGGACCTTACAACTGGACAACTCACATCTCTCTCCGTATGTGGGGTCGGATCTACAAGGCTTCAACGACTCGACTTCCAAACCTTGGGGTTATGTCGAGCTCCTGGTTACGTTCGGCGAAGGAACGACTACGAGACAGGTTAAGGTCCGCTTCCTCGTCATTGACTGCCCGTCTCTATACAATTGCATCTTGGGGAGACCGACTCTGGCGGAGCTGACGGCGGTGCCCTCGACCGTCCATCTGAAGATGAAGTTCTACACCAAAAGGGCACGGGTAGCCACCATCCAAGGAGACCTAGCCGCTGCCCGTAGGTGCTTCAATGCTGCTTCTAAGGGACGAGATACCGTCGACGTAGGGACCAGACCCGCCAAAAGGACAAAACAGGAGCCCGACAGGAAAGCATCCCCCGAGGAAGAAGTCCAGAAGGCCCCACCAAAGGTCGACTCCATAGCCCTCGACGCTCGCTTCGATTAGGACGAGCCATCCAGCAGCGAGCAAATCCCACTCCGACCTATTCCGGACGGGGATTTTGAACTCGTTCCCCTCGGCACAAACCCGACCAAGGGAGTGAAGATTGGTAAAGACCTCCCCGACTTGGCCAGGAAGCAAATCAAGGCCTGTCTGCGCGAGAATGCTGATCTCTTCGCCTGGAGCGCTGCAGAGATGCCCGGACTCGACCCTGAGGTCGCCTGTCACCACCTCTCCATTGATCCAGCCGCCAAGGCCGTAGTACAACGTAGGCGTAGGCAGTCTCCAGAAAAAACGGAGGCTGCTGAAAAAGCTGTAAAAGACCTCCTAGAGGCAAATTTTATTTCTGAAGCCCGGTATTCCACCTGGCTGTCAAATGTTGTACTTGTGAAAAAGAATAAGGGAAAATGGAGAATGTGTGTTGACTATACCGATCTCAACCGGGCTTGCCCGAATGATGCTTTTCTCTTACCTAACATAGACATGCTGGTCGAC